TATAGAATTCATATTTCGAATCCACCTTGCATTATCCAATTAGCTATCGTGTTTCTTTTCCCCAGAGTCTGCATTCTGCGATCTCTAATCCAGGCAAATTTAATTGCCAAAATTTTATGAATGTTCGAGGACCAAATAAACCTGCAGACATTTGGGACTTTTAATTAAAATGCTATTGTTTTGCTATCGGTTATCGAGCCACCCAATTATGCGATAAAACAAATATTTGTTTGTACATATGTATGTATGTACATATCTAGACACACACGCATACATACATATATATGTATGTATGTACCTTCATATATTCACTCCAATTAGCTGTCCACGCTGGTGCTATTGGAAAACGTCTGATAAATTAGCAAATTTTAATTTGATTTCCTAAGCAAATTTCCGCCGAAAGCTTTTGGCCATTTGTGTCGTTTCTTTTGGTTTTCCGTGCTCGCCGTGCGGTTGCAACGAATAAACAAAGTAAATTTATGGCCTCGGGCTGTAAGGCACACGTGTGCGACATGCCCACACATTGACACCTTTTGGTGGCCAGATCTGGCTGCCCCTGGCAGCGCACTCCTGCTCCACGTCCGGCGCGCCGTGGTCAGCCACCTGCCATCCAGTTTTGTACAGTTGCAGGTCCCTTGGCGCGCTTTGTTTTTGTTTATGCTGGGCAGGCACAAGCTGACAATGCTCCATCATGTCCAGCGTACGTGCGGCCAAACAAATTACAGGGGCACTGCGTCACCTGCAGGAATTTCCAAGTCTACATTGTCAAATGCCATCAAAAGTTGTTGGACATGTCGTAACATTAATTTGACATTTTACTGCCCTGGACGTGGGCCAAGGGATCGTGTGAGTGAAAATCCACAACCAAAAACAAACGAAGGGAGAGTGGAACGAATTATGCGTAACTAGTCAACTCCTTAAGAAATCTGTCCAGGCGGCCGACCGCAACGACACTGGACAGCTGTCAAGGATGCTGCTAACTGCTAGCTGCGAAGATATCGCAGGCAGATGATGCAAGCTGTTGGACGCCCTAAAAGCTCCACGGCATATCTGTTGTTGCTGCCAAATCTCGTTGCAGAGCTAGTGAATCTGATTTGTGGTCAACTGCAACAGCCGTTGCAGCCACAGCATCCGTCTTGTTAACCCAAATAAATATCTGGCGAGGCTGCCACCACAGATGCTGGCAATGTAACAACTGCGCAGCGATTAATTTGCTGCGGTTCAGATAATTTGTTAATATTAAACGAGATCCCAGCAGCTACTGCTCCCCCTCCCCCTTCGATTCAGCACGGAGCCGGCTGTTTGATGGCCAGCGCACTTTTTACGATTGCCATTAAGCTAAACTATGCCCGCTCTGCAGGCTGAAGCCCCTGTCCACAGGGTGACTCGGACTTTGCTGATGGCGCGCAATTTAATGCGTTGCCATTTGGGCGGCAATCGAAACGTGTATCCGACGCTTTTCTGATTAACTGTGCGGCATACACACACACACGTATATTCTCTTTGTTTGAGTCACGCAGCGGCCATTACGGGCGCAAACACGCCCACGCGATAAACACAACAGCCCCGAAATCCTTAATTGCCACGTGACGCCGGATTGCCACGAAGCTGCGCCAATTACCAAAAAAAAAAACCACAACATAAAAGAAACGAGAAAAAAAAACTTAAAAACATGTCCATCTTATGTATTTGATAAATTCCATTTCCACTTTGTGCAAACTTAAACAACGTAATTCGGACGCTCTAGTCCGAGTCCCCGGTTATATGTATGAAGGGAAGAGTCGCTTCATCCGCCTTCTTCTTCCTGGATCTGGTGAAGGCGGCGACTTGACTACGGGCGCTCTGCACCTTCGCCTTGAAATAGCCCTCATCCTCACGTGGTCGCGCCAGCGACTTCTCTGCGTCCTCCATGGCCTCCCGAAATCCACCGTACTGCTTCTGCTTCATCTGGCCAAAGCGCACTTTGTTCGCCTCGAAGTCGAACAGCTGCGAGCCGCGCACCTTGGCGACGTTGCAAGTGCCGTAGAAGTACACCTGATAGATGTTGCCGTCCTCCTGCAGCACACGCGCCGGCCAGGCGCGAAACCCACGCACCTTCGCGAACACAAAGTCGCCCACTTTGATCTGCTTCGGCTCTTTGGTTTTCTTGCGACCCATTTCT